CCTGCTTGCCTTTTCCCTGTCAGGTTTATAGCACTGTATGTGGTGTGTGTGTGTGCAGTTTAATCTTCACGACACCAATATTAACTGAACATAAAAACCCTGGGAGATCCATTCCTTGATCTCCTGTGTTTCATCCAGTGAAACCACACAATGTTGCATTTTTCTACAGGCACTCTTCTCAGGATCCTCTTAAGCACAGCAGGTTATACTTTTTTTGTTTTGTTTTAATGGAGATTGTAAAGAGGGAGACGCCCTTTGATCCCAACATTCAGGATTGTTTATTTCTTTTCTCTTTGGAAGGTTACCTGGTGGTTCCTGCTGGAGGCGGAGGCACGTTCCTTGGAGGGTTCATTGTGAATAAATTTAAGCTCCGTTGTTCGGGAATCATCAAGTTCTGTCTGTTTTGCACCCTGTCAAGTCTGCTGGCGATCTTCATCTTTTTTGTGGACTGCCCCAATATGCCCATGGCGGGAGTCACAGAGATGTACGACAGAAGGTAATCCTTGCGACAACGCTGTCTCCTGGGCGATGCCTGGGGAAGAAACAAACGGAAAACTCAGGCGTGACTAACACTAGCCTTTATTTATTTTTAAATGTCAAGCGTAATCATGCTCACTAGATCCTTACACTACCACAGTCATGTTCTTGTTGACAGTAACCAGCGTAAGATTTTGTTGTTTCATATTGGTTGGATGTTGTTAACTCTGCATGCAAGCGGATTTGGGAGGGAAAGGGTTAAGAGAATTCTCTGCTCAGGTACACTTGGAAGTTGATCCCAGCTTCTCATTGGTTAGGTGTTGAGCCTCTCTGACCATTTCTTTTGCCTTGTGCTTGTCATCTTCTATAGGGCCTCTCTTCTTCTTCTCTTTTACATGGGCTTGGAGCTGTAGCAAGTTAACCTTTTAATCTGTTCGCAATAAATTAAATGAACCTACATGAATATGTCATGTCAGATCTGCTTCTATTTCTGTAGGTAACATTTCTTTCTCTAGAACAAAGTTGGAGTCCAGGTGCACCTTTAAGACCAATAACATTTAATTCTGGGTATAAGCTTTCATGTCTGTTATGTATTGTGTTATATGGTGAGCCTGAATTATAGAATGAGCCTGAGCTTCAGCCACAAGCTCCGTAGACTCTCAGTATCTGAAAACCAGAAGCCTGATTGGCTGCCGTTGTGCAATGGACCAATCAGAGAAAACTATGGCTTTTGGCGGGAACAAATCCTATTGGTCCTACGCAGTCACTCATGATTGGACCTTACGGTTCTAGGGGTGTGGTTTAGCCAGTTCCCAACTGTATATAAATTGGGGTTATTCTGTGTTGTGTTGTGTTGTGCTCTGTTCTGTTCCAATAAACTGAAATCACTGGTTAAGAAAGAGCTGCCTGATCGAGAGTTACAACAGTGTGCATGATGAAGTGTGCGTGCACACAAAAGCTTATACCCAGAATTAAACTTAATTTGTCTTAAAGGTGCCGCCGGACTCCAACTTTCTTCTATTGCTTCAGTCCAACACGGTGACCCACCTGAATTTCTTTCTCTTTGTGTTATTTAATTTATTTATTTTATTAGATTTATAGCCCACCCTCCCCGCCAAAGCAGGCACAGGGCAACTTACATTAAAAGTTAAAACAGATTAAAATTATTTTAAAAAATCATAACACATAGATTAGGTGCTGCATATTCAGTGCAAAATACAGAATGGCGAGAACACGGTTTTAATAACACCATAATGGGTATCCAGTCAGCAATAGTTGTTATAAGCAGCTGCCAAGTACTAGCACAGCACAGGCAGCCAGTGATAGATTCCAGGGCGTAGGCTCTTAAGTCTACGGTGGACCATTCAATTAAATGCGACTCCTCAATCGAATGCCTGGTGGAAGAGCTCCGTCTTGTAGGCAATGCTCCCTCTGAGCTGTGGAGTCTTGAGAGCAAAAATTCTACTTGGTGAGCAACTGGCATTAAAGTTGTGAGCCGGCGATTTGGCCGCTACACAACTCAGTTTGCTCTGGAGCCCTCCTTCCTGAGCGAAGACGAAAATGTGCGAGCCGGAGGCTAAAAAAATGTGAGCTATCTTGCACTAACTCATCTGAGAGGGAACGCTGCTTGTAGGCCCTGCGGGATTGTAGTAAACCCCGCCGGGCCCTGATGTCTTCGGGGAGCTCATTCCACCAGCATGGAACTGCAACAGAAAAGGCCCTAGCCCTGGTCATAGCCAGCCTGGCGTCTTTAGGGCCAGGGACAACCACGAGAGTTTGCGACCCTGAACAAAGTACTCTCTGGGGAACATGTGGGGAAACGTGGTCCCGCGGGTATGCAGGCCCCTGACCATAGTAGGGTTGCCAAGTCCATCTTCCACCCCCAGCGGGGGACTTTGGGGGCGTTCCTGGAGGGGGCGGGGCATCCCCGACATGATGACGTCACGTTGGGGACGTCCGCTCCCCCCCCCCCACTGCCCGTGCACCAGATCTCCAGAAACGGCAGTTCCCTGCACTTAAAGGAGCCGGTGTTTCCCTTTTAAATGCAGGAGCCGGCGTTTCCCCTTTAAGAGCAGCCGCATTTCCCTTTTAAGAGCACGAAGCTGGCATTTCCCTGCAAGCTTGCAGAGATTGGGCTTAGGAGGAAACACGGGTTCCACACACTTAAAGGGAGAGAGATGGGTGGCTGTGGGTGGACCACTGGCAAACCGGGGGGGTTGGCAACCCTAGACCATAGAGGGCTTTATAGGTACCATTGTTACCATTGGAGTCAGGTCATCTTTGTAATTTGTTTGGACAGCATTTTCCTTTTAAAACGTGAACGATCGGGGATATGGCATAAAGCTTCTGTTCTTCCAAGTCAAGTGGTTTTGGGGGTTTTTTTTTACATTTAACCCAATAAATTATGGTCCCAGAGTCTATCAGAAGCTTAGATTAAGCTTCATTTTTAAAAAGGACTTAAAGTCTTTGATTAGCAGATCCCCTTGGGGGGGGGGGAGTTTATCGTTAAAAATTCTTCTTTGTTCTTCTCCACGTTGCTGTGATAAGAATGGCTGAATTGAGCAGATATTTGGAGATTCCCAAAACTTACTGCTGAGAACTATAGAAGCTGGCTTAAAAGATTTCATATACTCCTTGAAGCAAAAGGAGCTACTGGAAGCCTAGAGCAAGAAAAACTAACAGTGAAAGGCAAGGAATTGGACTCTTGGATGATCAAAAATGAGATTACCAAGAACATTATTATGGGATCTCCGGATGACAGTGAGACTCTCACGTCTGAAAACTCCCAGACAGCAAAAGAAATGCTTAAGAGCCTAGAAGAGTCTGTTGGGTTTACTAGTTTTAAATCAAAAGGAGTATGGATGAGAAAATGTTGCAAAACAACGTTACATAACAGACAATGTGTTTGAAAACCTAGCAGTCTGTGGCTTTAATCTAAATGATGAAAAAAGGCAAATTTTATGCTTGGGACTTTAGGGGAAGATTTTTTTCCCCTGTGTTTGTGAATGTGCAGAGTCAAAGCCAAAAGGAAGAAGCAAAAACTTTCAATCAGGCACGAAAAGAACTGTGTTCAGAGCTTTTCCCTCTCAAGAGCTGTTTTCTCAAGATCAGTTCACGAAAGAGCTCTCTCAGCCCCACCTATCTCACAGGGTGTCTGTTCTATGAAGGGGAAGGAGTTTGTAAGCCGCTCTGAGACTCCTTTGGGTAATGAAGGGTAGGGTATAATTCCAACCTCTTCCTCCTCCTTTCCTGGCAATTTACCTGTCCTTCAAGAGCTACAGGGTAATGATCTCCTACTCTTGGGTTTTTAGTTTAGTGTGGGTTATTTTTCTTTCTCCTGAGTTGTAGCTCCCCTTCCCTTCTTTTCCTTGTCGTTTATGTAGTATTATAAATTTTAAGTCTGGTTTTAGTGACCAAAATGATTGTACAATGTTATTTTGTAGTACCTAGTTGCACTTTGGAAATTTTATTATTAGGCCATTGTAATTTATTTTTATTCCTATGGTTTTATACTGCTGGCTAAGCGCCGTAACAATAAAATTCATTCAAAAATTCATAGTATTATAAAAAATAATAAAAATCCCCTTTGGGTAGCAGGTTGGGTATAAATCCAATCTCTTCGTCTTCTCTTCAAAACGGCTTGTTGAAGTTGAATCACCGGATAGCTCAAGTCATATTTCTAGAATGAACTTGGAAGAGCAAGTCCCGCCCAGAGAAAGAGTGAAGAACTAATTGCTGTCTCGCTTTCATTGCAACAAAAGGGGCCACTTTGCAAGACTGTAGAGAGCCGCCAACTAACGGTAGTTTTTAAGACGCACAGGAACAGCACACGGGCTATAAACAAACAGAGAGGCAATTTTAAAAACCAAAAGCATGAGGTTCCTAATGCAGTACACAGAGGAAAAAGTTTCTTACTAATTGACCAGAAAGCCTTATTTATGATGCTGCTGAATTAGACTAAAAAGAGAGTAAGTGGCTAAAGAGAAGCTGCAGTGGCTCAAGTGGTTAAGACGCTGAACTGCAGGCTGTGGAAGGTCGGTAGTTCAGCAGTTCGGGACCCGAGTGTGCCGCATGACTGAGTGAGCTCCCGTCTCTAGTTCCAGCTCCTGCCAACCTAGCAGTTCGAAAGGAAGAAATTGCAAGTAGATACCACTTCTGTGGGAAGGTAACAGCGTTCCGTGCGCCTTGGTGTTTAGTCATGCCGGCCGCATGACCACGGAAACGTCTCCGGACAGCGCTGGCTCTTCGGCTTTGAAACAGAGATGAGCACCACAACCCTAGAGTCGTATTCGACTGGCTTTCGAGCAAGGGAACCTTTACCTTTTTAAGTGGCTAAAAGACAGTGGCACAGACTGCAGAGATTTCTCTGATGAACTTAATGAAAGCGGGAAAGGAGAAATAAAAATTGCTAATGGTGAATGCATGCAAATTCAAGGCACAGGCAGAGGTCATTTCGGGGGGGATCGCAGTTCCCCCGGGTGAGGTGCGGGGGGCGGGGCACATGTCAAAGCCCCGCCCCCTGCTTCCGGCCACCCCACTTCCGGCCCTCATTCAGCCAGGAGGAGGCAGGAGAAGAGGGAGGGTAAGTTGCTTCCTCCCTGCCTCTCCCCACCCCTGCCTTCCTGGGGCCAGGGAGGGCCTTCGCGGGGCTTCCTTGCACTTCCGCCAGCCTTGCAGGTCCACCGCCGGGCCCCTCATGGGGCTCGGCAGAGGAACTGCAAGGCCGCTGGCGGCCGGGACCGTTGGAGACGGGGTGTGTGGCCTTATGACACACTTCCGGTGATGTCAGGGGGGGGGGCATATGCTAATGAGTTATGCTAATGAGTTCCCCTAGCTCTTTTTCTACGAAACGACCCCTGAGCACAGGTACTGGGCCTTTATGCTGTAATAGACCTCACAAAAATTTCCTAAATGAAGCTGGAGATGTCCTATGCATACCTGAATCAAGCTGTAATTTATTGCGTGTGTCTGCATTAGACAACAATATGTATGTTTTGGACATAAGAAATGTACTATTAGCAAAGGCAATGTTGTATATGCAAGAGGTAACCAAAAGGGGAAAAGTATATGAATTGAGACTTGTAGGTGAACAGGTACACCTGGCACATGAAAGGAAGAGAGCCTGGAACCGTGGCACAGACGTCTAGGACACTGTAATCCAAAATTAATCCTAGACCTTCAGAATAGGCACCTTCCCAAAGGCATTAACGTAAAATCATGTGACATCAATGACATAAGCAAATGTGGGTGTTGTATAAGAGCAAAAGGAGTTGGACTCTCATTTCCACCCAGAACCAAGAAATGTACCAGCAAGCCATCAGAATTTATTTATTTAAACCCACTGCGCCAGCTGCAGCTCTACATCACTTCTGGTAAAAAAGAAATGACATAGGGTAGCTCTAGGAATTGCCAGAAGCTGTATGTTTTGGACATAAGAAATGTACTATTAGCAAAGGCAATGTTGTATATGCAAGAGGTAACCAAAAGGGGAAAAGTATATGAATTGAGACTTGTAGGTGAACAGGTACACCTGGCACATGAAAGGAAGAGAGCCTGGAACCGTGGCACAGACGTCTAGGACACTGTAATCCAAAATTAATCCTAGACCTTCAGAATAGGCACCTTCCCAAAGGCATTAACGTAAAATCATGTGACATCAATGACATAAGCAAATATGTGTGTTGTATAAGAGCAAAAGGAGTTGGACTCTCATTTCCACCCAGAACCAAGAAATGTACCAGCAAGCCATCAGAATTTATTTATTTAAACCCACAGTGCCAGCTGCAGCTCTACATCACTTCTGGTAAAAAAGAAATGACATAGGGTAGCTCTAGGAATTGCCGGAAGCTCTGTAGCTGTGCCATAGAGTTCCCAGCAGTTCCTAGAGGTACCCTATGCCACTTCCTTTTTTTAAACCAGAAGTGATGTCCTGCCACAACTACTACTACTACTACTACTACTCACACTCAGATATTTGACTGGTAGATGGTGTTCTGCAATTCAAGATCTGTCCAAATTCTTGGGAACTGCAGATTAGGCTGAGAGATGGTGACTGGCCTAAAGTCACCCATTTTGCTTTATGACTGAGTGAGGATTTGAACGCAGGTCTCTATAGTCAGAGCCCGGCAGCTCTAGCCACTACAACAGACTGCCTCTTCTTTGAGAGTAAGGCCTAATGCCATTGTGTCAAATTCTCTGGGATATTCTGTGGACACAGGGCTGGGCTCAGAGTTTTCAAGAGCCCCAGTCCAAGAGATAACCAGTCTGATATCTGCTCTCTGTGTTATGTCCCATTCAGCTTCTTGCCCGAAGGTCGTCTCAACCTGTCCGCCCCTTGCAATACAGAGTGCGACTGTCTACGGGAAACATACAGCCCTGTGTGCGGAAGTGATGGGATCATGTATTACTCACCCTGCCATGGAGGATGCAAGAGAGTATTGACCAATCAGAATAACGGGAAAAAGGTATGTTGTGAGCAACGGGGTGGGGGGTTGATTTGCATCTACAACTATGGCCTTTGTATTATATGGAAACCGTTAAGCCTGCCTTGACATTTAGCCATGCTTTGACTAGAGCGCAAACAAACTGGGAAGGGAGGGAAATTCTTAAGCAAATATTCCCTTGGATTTGTCGGTAAAAGTTCCTTTATGTAATCTTTCCTAGTTTAGTTTTTATGAACAATGTTTGCAGAGGCTGATGGAGTTAAAAGCTTTGGGTGGGGTGGGTCAGACGCTCAAAGGGTCACGGTGGTGGTGCGTGTGTTGGGTCGAGAGAGCCAGTTTGGTGTAGTGGTTAGAAGCATGGACTTCAATCTGGGAGAACCGGGTTTGATTCCCCCACTTCTCACACCTTTGCATGCAACCGCTGGTGTGACCTTGAGTCAGTCACAAGTTCTCTCAGATCTGTTCTCTCAAGGGCAGTCCTCAAAAGAGCTCTCTCGGGCTTCCGGTTGATGGCGGCACGCTCCCAGATTCACCTCCCGGACCTCCCGGGGGTGTCTCTGTGCTCTGGTGGAGGGAGGGGGTGAGCAGACTCGTTAACCCCCCCCAGGGGCCCGGCAAAGGGTCCCTGGTCAAGGAGCTTTGAGGGGTTAGCCTCTTCGATGGCTGAATGCCAGAGAATCGAGGCTCCCCCTTGCTCCAGTGGTTCGTCCAGCCGAGAGACCAAATGGCACAAGTGAAGCTAGCCGGGTCAAGCGTAGGAGATCAGGCGTCAGAAATGATGAATGTAGCGGGGTCGGAAGACCAACTATGAACGTGAGTCAACTGAAATACGATCTTTAAAAGGTTAAGATTGACTCTGTTCTTAAAGCTCAAGAATTTCTAAAGGAGCAGCTGGGAAGGTCAGAGGAAGAGAAAAAAGAAGAAGACAGCAGGTCCAGCGGCGAGCTGGAAACTGGTTCATCTGGCAAGGACTCTTTGTCTGAGCAGGGGGCAGCAGCCCCGAAAAGTCCCTACAAACTGCGGAAAAGAGAGAAGAAGAAGTAAAGGCTGAAGGACTCTGAATTGTGCCTTTGAGAACTTTGGTTCCAGGGGATGATGGGGGGCACTGTTATTGGGCAATTAAATGTAAATGGGGAGGGTTAAAAGTTCTAAAAGTTTGACACAGTTCATAAGTACAAAGCTGATAAGTTTGGATGCTAAAAAAAAAAAGCTAGTTAGAGGATCTCCTCTCTTGGGTTTTTAGTCAGTAGTGGGTTCTTTACTTTCTCCCTTTTATGTAGCTTTGCCCTCCCCCTTTTCTGTTGTAGTTTTTTGTAGCGTTAAAAAAATCAATTAAAAAAAATCCCTTCCAGGGGCTCAACAAAAAAAGAAAAAAAAGAGCTCTCTCAGACCCACCTACCTCACAGGGTGTCTGTTGTGGGGAGGGGAAGGGAGAGGAGACTATAAGCCGCTCTGAGACTCCTTTGGGTAGTGAAGGGTGGGGTATAAATCCACTCTCCTCTCCTCCTCCTCCTCCTCTTCTTCCTCTTCTTCTTCTTCCTCTTCCTCCTCCTCCTCTTCTTCTTCTTCTTTTTGTTCTTGTTGTTCTTCTTGTTCTTGTTCTTCTTGTTCTATGCCTTGTGAAGCAGCAGCCGGGAAGAGGAGGCACCAAAGGACCATGCAGTTACTAGAGAATGCTGCCATACAGAAATTGGGGGTACGGTGGGGTTACACAGTGCAGACGCTGCCTCTGGAGAAGGCCAGCATTAGCCTACCACCTTTGGAAAGTATTGCATTTTGCGAGTTTATACTTAATTTTACAACTTCAAAATGAAGCCAGAGGACTTAAAAATTAAGGCTTTCAGTTGGACTAGGAGCATCGCCGAAGCTACTGGCCCGCCCTTCCTTCCTTCCTTCCTTCCTTCCATCCTTCCTTCCTTCCTTCCTTCCTTCCTTCCTTCCTTCCTTCCTGTATCAGATTGGAAGGGACCTTCGTCTCTTCGGATTAGGCTTGCCAGCCTCCAGGTGGGGCCTGGAGTTCTCCTGGAATCCCACCTGGTCTCCAGGCTTTGGAGATCGGCTCCCCTGGTGAAAGCAGCTGCTTCGGAGGGTGGACTCCATGGCATCACACCCCTACCGAGCGCCTTCCCCTTCCCAAACCCCACCCGCCCTTCTCCGGCTCCACCCACCCACCCCAGAGCTCCAGGAATTTCCTAGTTCAGGGTTAGCAGCCCTGCTTTAGAGGGGTTAAACATATTGAGAGATGCAGCAAAACAAAGAGGGAACGAGGTAGTAGCACAGACCATACCACTGTCGCTTGCAGGCTTTTTGAACGCTTCCCTACCAATGCTCCCTCTCAGCTCTGGAGTCTTGTGAGCCAAAATTCTACTTTGTGAGCTACCGGCATTAAAGCTGTGAGTGAGCAATTTGGCTGCTGCATAAATTAGGTTGCTCTGGAGCCATCCCTTCCTGAGCCAAGACAAAAATGTGTGAGCCGGAGGCTAAAAAACTGTGAGCCAGCTCACACTAACTCAGCTTAGGGGGGACACTGTTCCCTACATAAAATAGTCTGCAAATCGGTGTCAGACCCCTGGACAAAGTTACTCTCAACAACACTCTCTGGCAGTGATTTGTTTATTGAGAAATAAAGATGTTCCAGGCCAGACCAGTACTGTGTCAGAACTGAGGTTCTGGCGGGAGAATCCAAAGATATAGACAAGTCAAACGAGGGCCCCCCTTCAGTTACATCCAATCATACTCCACAATCTAGCTTTCGTGAGCTCTACACCCCCTCCTGTGAATATACAGTTTCTTTATCTATAACATCGAGGCAGGCACAGTTAGGCTCCAAGGTCATCCCTGACAAGGGAGGTATCTTAGGAAGAGTTACATCGCCACTACGCCAGAGCTGTTCACACACTCGGCCACTCACAAACTACAGTCTGAGTCTGACAATAGGAAACTAGCCCAGCAGAAAGAAAACAAGACTTGCACCCTTCCGTTCAATTTTCCACTTGCAGGGAGACTTTTTGTGTGTGAAAAATTTTTTTTAAAAAAAAAAAAATATCCATCTCTTGTCATGAGAAATGGTATGTTCCAAAATTCTAGCACCCCCTTCTCTTGCATCTGAGCACCAGGCCTCAGCATAGGAAGAACGGTGGCATCTCTAACTTTGTGTCATTGCCTTTCTAGCTTCGTGGAATTCCCTAAAGCGGATGTCTCCTTCCTTTATGAACTTCTGATGTGTTTTCCCCACCAAGGTTTACCATGAGTGCAGCTGCATTCTCGGAAGCCATCCCATGGTGCCCGGCTCTGCTACAACGGGGAAGTGCTCCTCATCTTGTGAGAAACGGACCCTTCTCTTGCTTTTTGTGTTTGTCGTCATCATCTTCACATTCCTCAGTAGTATTCCTGCCCTGACTGCTACTTTACGGTAAGCAAGAGGAACCCAGTCTTCGTGTCGATGCCTGTTACAGTGTGATTACAAAATAACGATGGTAAAGAATAGCATAATGAGCAATTGTTGCGACTGGCTGCAAAGTGAAAAGCGGTACTTTGCATCCGGCTGCAACTACTGTTCATCGTTTTATTTGTTATTATTGAAAAGTGGTATTTAAGACCTATCTACCCACCGCTGAGAACCAGACCTGATACTTTAGAATCAGTTCATGCATGCGACAACAGAAGGAGGAAGGAATCAACACTCAAAACCCAGTGAGAGAACACTTTAAACTTCTGGGTCATCACTCCATTGCTGACCTAAGAGTGGCAGTCCTTGAACAGAGAAGCCTCAAGGGGAGATCACAATGCCAGATTGCTGAACCTGCATTCATTCACAAGTTCAGAACAATGGACCCCCAAGGGCTAAACGGGGACACAGGATTTTGC